TGAACTTTATATATACATACATATTTTTATACATAGTATTGCCCCATGCGTCATATTTCATGTTGTAATTTCTATTATTATTTACCTTTCTGTTACAACAGACGAAATATCCGGGAAACGGCGAGGAGTGGCTACGTGAATTTAATACTTTGGAGTGGATCTTCCTGCATGGTGTTGAACTCGCCGAAACAGAGGGGAAATTCAATTTAGACGTTTATAAAGAATTGTTAGAAGAAATGTTCGTCTTATCGGTACGCTGCTATGCTTTGGCCTTTCCAAGAAAGAATCGCATTCATGCGGGATAACAGCACTGTACACACATCTAGGGCAGTTACGAAATGGTTCCATGACTAAAACCAGCTGGTCATGTGACCTGTGTGGATATATGAAATCTGTGTAATTTACCTATGCCTATGTACATAATGATTTCTACCGTGTAAAACAGATACACCCGAGGTGACAACAATTATGGAGCCTAATTGGCAACCCCTCGAGTTTGTCTGTTCCCTTCAGTGGTCCCGCAAGCTGGAGAGACGACGGTCCAACTGTCGCCCTCTCCTGCTCTCTGTAATGCATGCCCAATAAACAGCAGGATAAAAGAACCTACTTCTTATTCGACCTCCTACACCTACAAGGGATACGTGAGGACGAACAACATGGCGCAGTGTAATTAGGAATCCCTACCCTGCAGGATTTTAACCGAATCTCCAGAGAGCCTTGCGGTCGGACCCACCGGTTGATGACGCCTCAAACTTCGTCCAGTGCAGTGCAGTGACTGATTTAACTATCAACTACTCCCAGTGCAGTGTAAAGTGGCAGTGTAACCCTTAAAGTGCGGTGGAGTTGTGTATAAAGTGTTGTGTTGTGTGCAGTGCTCACCCCTTGCGGGGCCTCTCAGCGTCTCCGGTAGTGCCTGGGTACCCCTATACCCCTACCCCATTCATGACGACGAGCGACATCCTCCCACTTCGATGGTCAGCTCGCTACTGAGCCCCCGGCTAGCCTCGCAGCCATATATATGGGACGTCGCCACCCACGCACGCACGTACACACTCCCGCACGATTGTCACCAAAAAGACATAGTATCCTAAAAATTCACCTTACTTTTCGAGGTGATATTAAATGCCATTGAACTGCTCCATCAACAGAGAGCATAATGGCAGATTCAGCGTCTTTAGAGGAGACTGTAGACACCCCACAAGCCAGGGCTCTGTCTACCACAGGCCAAGAAGAGTTACTGCCCACAGACCACCCACTGCAACCCCACAGCGGGCACTTAGGCGACCGACAGACGGCGCCTCACACATCAATGCAGGCCAGCATTCCCCTACAATGCCGCTCCTCACACCTAATTATACCCTTACACCTCCTAATGCTGAACTTATGCACTTCATGAGGTACTTTGAGGAGTCTAGACTCACTGCAGAGGCAAGATTTGAGGCAATAAGACGAGAGGACGAGATGAGAAGGAGAGAAGAACAAAGATTGTGGCGAGATGAGGACAGACGGCTTCGACAAGAGGATTCCCAACGCTTTCTTCAAGTTTTGCAGACACTACAAGCGTTTAATCACACCCTCCTTGCTGCTCAACAGGCGACTCCACAAGTTTTTCACGCAGCTCAGCCCCTTCCCACGCCCGTTCTGAGACCTTCAGCTCACGATTTCGTCCCTTCTACGCCCACACCTACGTGTTCAACATCCACCAATGGGACCTTCACAACTTCTACATCCCCTACGACGGCTATTACAACATCTTCGACATCGACAGCCCCACAGATGTCTTCCCACACAGCAGCTGCACCCACTGCCATGAAGCCTATGGCTCCTAGCCCTCCTGTACTCCAGGCTGATGCCACCTACCACATATTCAGGCAATGGCGACGTCGTTGGGCGGATTTCTCCACCATGATTGACCTCCCAAAACTCACACAGGAGAAACAACTTATCCAGCTGCGGATGTCAGTTTCCCTGGAGGTCCAGCGGATTTGGAACACACCTTGGGCATTTCTCCTGATACTACCCTCTCTGTGGAAGCGGTTCTCGATGCACTCCAAGACTTCTTCAAAGGTCAACGTAATGAAGCTCTCCGTCGTCGGGCACTACTCTGCTGTCGTCAGATGGAGGGGGAAGACTTCGGACAGTTTCTATGTGAGGCTTAGAGGCCTCGCTGAGGAAGTTGACCTGTGTCCTGGCCATTCTGTTACATGTACTGAGACACAGTTGAAAATGGTCATCCTTATGGGTGTCCGGGACGAGGAACTTGTTCAAAAGTTAATTGCCCTCCATTCAAATGCTTCTTTACAGGATGTCGCCACTTGTTGCAGATCCTATGAAGCCACCCGGACCACAGCATCAGCCATTCACGCTTCACCTAGCCAGATGTGTGCAGTTTCGTCATATAAGAAGCAGTCGCGAATAGAGAAAAATAAGAGACCAACAACCTCAGGCCGAACTGGAAGCTCCACTCAACAGTCTTCAGGTCAGCCTTGCCCCTCCTGTGGCCGTGTACATGGCCCCTCTGACTGCCCCGCACGTGATTCTACTTGCCGTAATTGTGGGCGTAAGGGTCATTGGGCCAGGAGAGAGAAATGCCCCGCTAAAGCTGCCCAGTGTAGGCACTGTAGAAGCTGGGACATTATGACAAGTGCTGCCGCTCCAGACCTTATGCCACACCATCGTCGAGCCCACACAACTGCACAGCCAATGCCTGTCGTCGTGCGGCTGACGTCATGCTTTCTACTGGTTCTCCTAGTCCCATCTGTATTCAGTTCATTCACGGTAACAAGTCCTCTCAATTACACATGTTACCAGACACAGGTGCGGACATTACTGTGATTGGAGAACAACATCTTGCCTCCCTCAACATACCGAAGAGCAGCCTCCGAAAGATAACCAGTTCTGCTACCCTCACAGCCGATGGTTCGGAGATGTCACCTGCCCTTGGATGTTTCATCGCAACTTTGAGGCTTGGCAGGCAATCTTGCAAGGCCACAGTACAAGTACACAAGGATATCCCGACGCCTCTTCTTTCCTACAGTCACTGCAAGGCGTTGGCTATCATTCCACAGGAGTTTCCAAAACCCATTCAACACGTTCAGCATGTTAACCGTTGCACTCAGCTACCAAAGCTGCCACCGTTTCCCAGCAGCTGCCAAGGACTATTTCCTCAAGGAGTTCAGTGACGTCCTGGTGTCAAAGGAGACCTCCAGAACGCCCCCCTCAAGGCAATGTCGGGTCCGCCTATGCGTATCCACCTGAAGGAGGGTGCGGTCCCCTTTGCTGTACACACCCCTCGCCGCATCCCTCTTGCTTTCCAGCAGCAGGTCAAGGACGAGCTCCAGTCATTAGTCTGTCAAGGTATCATCAAGCCTGCTGGAGATCAACCTTCCGAATGGTGTCACCCGTTAGTTGTCGTCCCAAAGGATGTTGGTGTAAGGCTCACTATAGACCTCACAAAGCTTAACGGTCAAGTGGCACGTCCAACACATCCTGCCCCTTCACCCCTTGATGCCGTTCGCAGTGTCAGCCCATCATCCCGATTCTTCACCACCATGGATGCCCTTCATGGTTATTGGCAACTCAAGTTAGCAGAAGAGGACCAACACCTAACACGTTTATCACCCCATACGGTCGATTCATGCACTGTCGTGGCCCTATGGGATTCTCTGCCACAGGTGATGAATACTGCCTTCGCGGAGACATGGCACTTCAGGGAATTGAAAACTGTGTCAAGGTCATAGATGATGTCCTCCTGTATGATAAGGACCTAGCTACTCACCTCCAGCAGATTCACCGTACCCTTACCAAATGCGTGAGTTTGGCATCACCATGAACAGAGAGAAATTCCATGTGGCAGAGCCTTCAGTCCACTTCTGCGGGTACAACATATCGTCTACAGGCATCTCACCAGACGAGAGTAGAATCAGTGCTATCCAGGATTTCCCTACTCCTGCCAACATCACTGACCTCCGTTCCTTCATGGGCCTAGTAAACCAGCTCTCACACTTTTCACCTGACATAGCAAGTGCTGCCCAGCCCCTGCGTCCTTTGCTCAGCCCAAAACGCTCTTTTGTCTGGACACCAGATCATGAGACGGCCTTCTCCAAGGTCAAAAACTGCTTATCAAGCCTCCAGTCTTGGCACATTTTGACCCGGCCCTACCAGTGATCCTCCAGACGGACGCTTCACGACTTAATGGCATAGGATATGCCCTTCTACAAGAACATGGCCAGGGAAGGACCTGTCTAGTTCAATGTGAATCACGTTTTCTCACTGATGCAGAGACACGATATGCCATAATTGAGTTAGAGCTCCTCGCCGCAGTATGGGCCATGACCAAGTGTAGGTACTACCTGTCCGGCCTACCATCCTTCACGTTAATGACGGATCACCGCCCCTTGATCCCCATCCTCAACAACTACACCCTCGACGCAGTGGAAAACCCACGACTTCAACGCCTCAAGGAGAAAATCTCACCATACATCTTCACCGCTGTCTGGCGCCCAGGCAAGGAGTTGTCAATTCCAGATGCCCTATCACGTGCGCCAGTGGACCAGCCTGCCTCCGAAGATGAGATCTTGTCTACTGAATCTGCCATACACCTGAGGCGCATTGTCAACGCTGTCGTCACCGAGGAAGCCCAGGAGTCGCTGCATCAAGACGCCGATCGGAACATTCAAGACCTACGAAACGCTGCCCGGAATGACCCGGACTATATACGCCTGCTCAACTGTGTCACATCAGGATTCCCTTCACATCGGTATGCGCTCCACTCCTCACTCCTTCCATACTGGAAACTACGCGACAGCATCTACGCAGATGGAGAATTGGTCCTTTACAACCAACGCATTGTCGTCCCAAAGCCCTTCGCAGAAAGTACCCTCGCTCGACTTCACGACAGTCACCGTGGTGCAGATGCGACTATTCGCAGGGCACGCCAAACGGTCTTTCTGGCCAGGTATTGAAGCAGATATCAAGAGCACTGTCCAAGCCTGCGAGCCATGCCAGACCCTTCAACCGAGCCACAACAAGAGCCACTTCTTTCAGATGACATACCATCCAGGCCCTTCGAGTCTGTCTCCGCAGACTTTTTCACAGTCGCTGGGAAGGCCTTCTTGGTGATAGCGGACAGACTGTCTGGATGGCCTACTATCATTCCTTGTGGGACCGACACATCTACGTCCAGAACCGTGAGGATGTTTTGTCGCTACTTCCGCGAAGTTGGTGTCCCTGTCCGCCTCCGGACAGATGGTGGGCCCCAGTTTTCCAGCTTGGAGTTCCAGTCTTTCATGAAATGCTGGGCTGTCCACCATGTGATATCAACACCACATTATCCCCAGTCAAACGGCCATGCTGAGGCTGCTGTTAAGTCTGCCAAGTACCTGATTCTGAAGACAGCGCCCTCAGGTAACATAGACACCGAGGAATTTGACCGCGGCCTGCTGGAGCTACGGAACACGCCCACTGCTGCTGGAAGGTCACCCGCACAGGTGCTATATGGCCACCCCCTCCGTACGTGTGTCCCTGCTCACCCTGCATCCTTCGCCCAGGAATGGCAGGAGTGCACAGAAGATTACGACCGTCGAGCTGCAGCCCGTGCTGGCCACGTGAAAAGCCAGTATGATAAACACGCACAGTCCACTTCCCAAGTTGAGTGTCGGCGATCATGTCGCATCCAGAATACAGACACCCACCGATGGGACAAGGTTGGAGTCATCATGGGTTGCGGCCGTAACAGGGATTACGAGGTGCGGCTCCCAAGTGGCCGAGTGTGGTGGCGAAATCGTCGTTTCTTGCGCCCCATCCCAGATCCTAGTGTTGACCCCCTCTCCCACATCCCTGTGGTCCCTTGCACGGACAAAACGTCCACAGAAGTACAGATACCCTCCTATGCCCCACGCAGATCAGAAAGGCTGAGGAAATATGCCGCTTGAGACACTGCTACAAGCGCAAAGGGGGGAGGGAGGTGTGGATATATGAAATCTGTGTAATTTACCTATGCCTATGTACATAATGATTTCTACCGTGTAAAACAGATACACCCGAGGTGACAACAATTATGGAGCCTAATTGGCAACCCCTCGAGTTTGTCTGTTCCCTTCAGTGGTCCCGCAAGCTGGAGAGACGACGGTCCAACTGTCGCCCTCTCCTGCTCTCTGTAATGCATGCCCAATAAACAGCAGGATAAAAGAACCTACTTCTTATTCGACCTCCTACACCTACAAGGGATACGTGAGGACGAACAACATGGCGCAGTGTAATTAGGAATCCCTACCCTGCAGGATTTTAACCGAATCTCCAGAGAGCCTTGCGGTCGGACCCACCGGTTGATGACGCCTCAAACTTCGTCCAGTGCAGTGCAGTGACTGATTTAACTATCAACTACTCCCAGTGCAGTGTAAAGTGGCAGTGTAACCCTTAAAGTGCGGTGGAGTTGTGTATAAAGTGTTGTGTTGTGTGCAGTGCTCACCCCTTGCGGGGCCTCTCAGCGTCTCCGGTAGTGCCTGGGTACCCCTATACCCCTACCCCATTCATGACGACGAGCGACATCCTCCCACTTCGATGGTCAGCTCGCTACTGAGCCCCCGGCTAGCCTCGCAGCCATATATATGGGACGTCGCCACCCACGCACGCACGTACACACTCCCGCACGATTGTCACCAAAAAGACATAGTATCCTAAAAATTCACCTTACTTTTCGAGGTGATATTAAATGCCATTGAACTGCTCCATCAACAGAGAGCATAATGGCAGATTCAGCGTCTTTAGAGGAGACTGTAGACACCCCACAAGCCAGGGCTCTGTCTACCACAGGCCAAGAAGAGTTACTGCCCACAGACCACCCACTGCAACCCCACAGCGGGCACTTAGGCGACCCGACAGACGGCGCCTCACACATCAATGCAGGCCAGCATTCCCCTACAATGCCGCTCCTCACACCTAATTATACCCTTACACCTCCTAATGCTGAACTTATGCACTTCATGAGGTACTTTGAGGAGTCTAGACTCACTGCAGAGGCAAGATTTGAGGCAATAAGACGAGAGGACGAGATGAGAAGGAGAGAAGAACAAAGATTGTGGCGAGATGAGGACAGACGGCTTCGACAAGAGGATTCCCAACGCTTTCTTCAAGTTTTGCAGACACTACAAGCGTTTAATCACACCCTCCTTGCTGCTCAACAGGCGACTCCACAAGTTTTTCACGCAGCTCAGCCCCTTCCCACGCCCGTTCTGAGACCTTCAGCTCACGATTTCGTCCCTTCTACGCCCACACCTACGTGTTCAACATCCACCAATGGGACCTTCACAACTTCTACATCCCCTACGACGGCTATTACAACATCTTCGACATCGACAGCCCCACAGATGTCTTCCCACACAGCAGCTGCACCCACTGCCATGAAGCCTATGGCTCCTAGCCCTCCTGTACTCCAGGCTGATGCCACCTACCACATATTCAGGCAATGGCGACGTCGTTGGGCGGATTTCTCCACCATGATTGACCTCCCAAAACTCACACAGGAGAAACAACTTATCCAGCTGCGGATGTCAGTTTCCCTGGAGGTCCAGCGGATTTTGGAACACACCTTGGGCATTTCTCCTGATACTACCCTCTCTGTGGAAGCGGTTCTCGATGCACTCCAAGACTTCTTCAAAGGTCAACGTAATGAAGCTCTCCGTCGTCGGGCACTACTCTGCTGTCGTCAGATGGAGGGGGAAGACTTCGGACAGTTCTATGTGAGGCTTAGAGGCCTCGCTGAGGAAGTTGACCTGTGTCCTGGCCATTCTGTTACATGTACTGAGACACAGTTGAAAATGGTCATCCTTATGGGTGTCCGGGACGAGGAACTTGTTCAAAAGTTAATTGCCCTCCATTCAAATGCTTCTTTACAGGATGTCGCCACTTGTTGCAGATCCTATGAAGCCACCCGGACCACAGCATCAGCCATTCACGCTTCACCTAGCCAGATGTGTGCAGTTTCGTCATATAAGAAGCAGTCGCGAATAGAGAAAAATAAGAGACCAACAACCTCAGGCCGAACTGGAAGCTCCACTCAACAGTCTTCAGGTCAGCCTTGCCCCTCCTGTGGCCGTGTACATGGCCCCTCTGACTGCCCCGCACGTGATTCTACTTGCCGTAATTGTGGGCGTAAGGGTCATTGGGCCAGGAGAGAGAAATGCCCCGCTAAAGCTGCCCAGTGTAGGCACTGTAAGAAGCTGGGACATTATGACAAGTGCTGCCGCTCCAGACCTTATGCCACACCATCGTCGAGCCCACACAACTGCACAGCCAATGCCTGTCGTCGTGCGGCTGACGTCATGCTTTCTACTGGTTCTCCTAGTCCCATCTGTATTCAGTTCATTCACGGTAACAAGTCCTCTCAATTACACATGTTACCAGACACAGGTGCGGACATTACTGTGATTGGAGAACAACATCTTGCCTCCCTCAACATACCGAAGAGCAGCCTCCGAAAGATAACCAGTTCTGCTACCCTCACAGCCGATGGTTCGGAGATGTCACCTGCCCTTGGATGTTTCATCGCAACTTTGAGGCTTGGCAGGCAATCTTGCAAGGCCACAGTACAAGTACACAAGGATATCCCGACGCCTCTTCTTTCCTACAGTCACTGCAAGGCGTTGGCTATCATTCCACAGGAGTTTCCAAAACCCATTCAACACGTTCAGCATGTTAACCGTTGCACTCAGCTACCAAAAGCTGCCACCGTTTCCCCAGCAGCTGCCAAGGACTATTTCCTCAAGGAGTTCAGTGACGTCCTGGTGTCAAAGGAAGACCTCCAGAACGCCCCCCTCAAGGCAATGTCGGGTCCGCCTATGCGTATCCACCTGAAGGAGGGTGCGGTCCCCTTTGCTGTACACACCCCTCGCCGCATCCCTCTTGCTTTCCAGCAGCAGGTCAAGGACGAGCTCCAGTCATTAGTCTGTCAAGGTATCATCAAGCCTGCTGGAGATCAACCTTCCGAATGGTGTCACCCGTTAGTTGTCGTCCCAAAGGATGTTGGTGTAAGGCTCACTATAGACCTCACAAAGCTTAACGGTCAAGTGGCACGTCCAACACATCCTGCCCCTTCACCCCTTGATGCCGTTCGCAGTGTCAGCCCATCATCCCGATTCTTCACCACCATGGATGCCCTTCATGGTTATTGGCAACTCAAGTTAGCAGAAGAGGACCAACACCTAACAACGTTTATCACCCCATACGGTCGATTCATGCACTGTCGTGGCCCTATGGGATTCTCTGCCACAGGTGATGAATACTGCCTTCGCGGAGACATGGCACTTCAGGGAATTGAAAACTGTGTCAAGGTCATAGATGATGTCCTCCTGTATGATAAGGACCTAGCTACTCACCTCCAGCAGATTCACCGTACCCTTACCAAATGCCGTGAGTTTGGCATCACCATGAACAGAGAGAAATTCCATGTGGCAGAGCCTTCAGTCCACTTCTGCGGGTACAACATATCGTCTACAGGCATCTCACCAGACGAGAGTAGAATCAGTGCTATCCAGGATTTCCCTACTCCTGCCAACATCACTGACCTCCGTTCCTTCATGGGCCTAGTAAACCAGCTCTCACACTTTTCACCTGACATAGCAAGTGCTGCCCAGCCCCTGCGTCCTTTGCTCAGCCCAAAACGCTCTTTTGTCTGGACACCAGATCATGAGACGGCCTTCTCCAAGGTCAAAAACCTGCTTATCAAGCCTCCAGTCTTGGCACATTTTGACCCGGCCCTACCAGTGATCCTCCAGACGGACGCTTCACGACTTAATGGCATAGGATATGCCCTTCTACAAGAACATGGCCAGGGAAGGACCTGTCTAGTTCAATGTGGCTCACGTTTTCTCACTGATGCAGAGACACGATACGCCATAATTGAGTTAGAGCTCCTCGCCGCAGTATGGGCCATGACCAAGTGTAGGTACTACCTGTCCGGCCTACCATCCTTCACGTTAATGACGGATCACCGCCCCTTGATCCCCATCCTCAACAACTACACCCTCGACGCAGTGGAAAACCCACGACTTCAACGCCTCAAGGAGAAAATCTTACCATACATCTTCACCGCTGTCTGGCGCCCAGGCAAGGAGTTGTCAATTCCAGATGCCCTATCACGTGCGCCAGTGGACCAGCCTGCCTCCGAAGATGAGATCTTGTCTACTGAATCTGCCATACACCTGAGGCGCATTGTCAACGCTGTCGTCACCGAGGAAGCCCAGGAGTCGCTGCATCAAGACGCCGATCGGAACATTCAAGACCTACGAAACGCTGCCCGGAATGACCCGGACTATATACGCCTGCTCAACTGTGTCACATCAGGATTCCCTTCACATCGGTATGCGCTCCACTCCTCACTCCTTCCATACTGGAAACTACGCGACAGCATCTACGCAGATGGAGAATTGGTCCTTTACAACCAACGCATTGTCGTCCCCAAAGCCCTTCGCAGAAGTACCCTCGCTCGACTTCACGACAGTCACCGTGGTGCAGATGCGACTATTCGCAGGGCACGCCAAACGGTCTTCTGGCCAGGTATTGAAGCAGATATCAAGAGCACTGTCCAAGCCTGCGAGCCATGCCAGACCCTTCAACCGAGCCAACAACAAGAGCCACTTCTTTCAGATGACATACCATCCAGGCCCTTCGAGTCTGTCTCCGCAGACTTTTTCACAGTCGCTGGGAAGGCCTTCTTGGTGATAGCGGACAGACTGTCTGGATGGCCTACTATCATTCCTTGTGGGACCGACACATCTACGTCCAGAACCGTGAGGATGTTTTGTCGCTACTTCCGCGAAGTTGGTGTCCCTGTCCGCCTCCGGACAGATGGCGGGCCCCAGTTTTCCAGCTTGGAGTTCCAGTCTTTCATGAAACGCTGGGCTGTCCACCATGTGATATCAACACCACATTATCCCCAGTCAAACGGCCATGCTGAGGCTGCTGTTAAGTCTGCCAAGTACCTGATTCTGAAGACAGCGCCCTCAGGTAACATAGACACCGAGGAATTTGACCGCGGCCTGCTGGAGCTACGGAACACGCCCACTGCTGCTGGAAGGTCACCCGCACAGGTGCTATATGGCCACCCCCTCCGTACGTGTGTCCCTGCTCACCCTGCATCCTTCGCCCAGGAATGGCAGGAGTGCACAGAAGATTACGACCGTCGAGCTGCAGCCCGTGCTGGCCACGTGAAAAGCCAGTATGATAAACACGCACGTCCACTTCCCAAGTTGAGTGTCGGCGATCATGTCCGCATCCAGAATACAGACACCCACCGATGGGACAAGGTTGGAGTCATCATGGGTTGCGGCCGTAACAGGGATTACGAGGTGCGGCTCCCAAGTGGCCGAGTGTGGTGGCGAAATCGTCGTTTCTTGCGCCCCATCCCAGATCCTAGTGTTGACCCCCTCTCCCACATCCCTGTGGTCCCTTGCACGGACAAAACGTCCACAGAAGTACAGATACCCTCCTATGCCCCACGCAGATCAGAAAGGCTGAGGAAATATGCCGCTTGAGACACTGCTACAAGCGCAAAGGGGGGAGGGAGGTGTGGATATATGAAATCTGTGTAATTTACCTATGCCTATGTACATAATGATTTCTACCGTGTAAAACAGATACACCCGAGGTGACAACAATTATGGAGCCTAATTGGCAACCCCTCGAGTTTGTCTGTTCCCTTCAGTGGTCCCGCAAGCTGGAGAGACGACGGTCCAACTGTCGCCCTCTCCTGCTCTCTGTAATGCATGCCCAATAAACAGCAGGATAAAAGAACCTACTTCTTATTCGACCTCCTACACCTACAAG